CCAATGGATAAGGCGCTGGTCTACGGAACCAGAGATTCTGGGTTCGATCCCCAGCGGAGTCGTTAATTATCAGACAAAATATAGGACCAAACTTTTGACCCTGTTTTAAAAATTTAATACAAATAAAGAAAAGAAATTAACTCGAAATCGTGCTCAGCATCCAAAAGTCCATGACCCAGTGGTTCATGCGCTGGTCTACTGAACCAGAGATTCTGAGTCAGATCCCCATTGGAGTCGTATACTTTGTTTTTGTGGGTTTGTAACTTGATCATTCTGCTTCTGTTTCCTGAACATTGCTAAAAACAGCTTTGTTAACAAAAGTTCTGTTTTGGGCTAAACAAGGAGCAACTGCTACAAATCACTAATACCATCATATAAATATAATCTATGTGTCCATCTATCAGTCCTTCACTTGCTATTTACAGTTGAAATGTACAAACATTAGCTTCACCTGGTACCCTGCTCTACCCAAGTTAAACTGCTGACAGTCTAAAGATGAATGAAAGTCTCAGATTAATAGTCCTAAAGCAAGTTCACTGGTTAAAACATATTCTACACACTAGCAAAAGAAAATCATACTGATTTTCTAGACCAATGCTGCAATCCTACACAGGCATAATCCAAAATAACTTTTGACAGCAAGGGCGGCCTCAAGACCACAGAGCAACCACATTGGATAGATAAATGGGGATGGTTCAACTACAATGGCCATATCTGTGAGAAGAATGATATTGGGAATAATTCTATTCTAGCGAGCAAACCTGGTGTTCATTTGTATTGTCAAAACTGTTATGTATAAAAGAGAAAATCAATAGTAGTTAGTCAACAATAAGAGAGTTTCAGAAAGAGTGCTCGAGAAAAATCCATCCTTTCGTCATTGCAGATATAAGCAATGACGAAGCCTGTCATATGCAGATATGCTTGAGCTCAGAAATAAGGCAGCTACTCAAGCTTACAGCCTGATCCTTGCTAATAAAATAATGCACCAATCTCCTTTCTAGCTATCCCAGTCAAGTCTGTTCTGTTTTTGAAGCAGCCTTCAGTTTCTCTAGTTGTTTCCGAAGATAGGCCTGCCTGAGTTTCTCACGACGAGCTGCTGCTTGCTCTTGCCTTCGCAATTTAAGCTCAGACACCTTTTCCCTCGCTTGATTTGCTTCTTCATGAACTTCCCTGGGAATAATCATCAATTAAATAATTAAGGCCTCGAGTCTTAGTTTCATGACTAAAACATCTATATTAATATGTTACAAAACATGGCCTTGTGAAAATGTAAACTGGCCATCCCAAAACATCTTAGTTAGCTATAAAGTTCAAGGTTTTAATAATTACTATCAATCGTCAGTACCTTTTGTCATGTTTTATATTAGCATCTTCATTTATCAACTACTCTAAACTGTTAATCCATGGACTAGTGACTAGTGTATACCACTCCATCAGGCAATTAAGTCACAAACAATAAGCAAGATGAAAACAACCAGCCGACTATTGGTTGGTAGATGGGTTGAAAAAGGGACATCAACACAACTTTATGGCATTGATTCCAAAACTTTACCATTCCATTCCTATAAAAAGCAAACCCTTTCTACTCTTATGCAGAATATTACCCAAAATCCATCAACAACCTGTCCAGTGAGGGGAATGAAGGCCAATGATGGAAAGGGATGAAACCTCGGGCTACTAGGAGAGTGCTTCACCACACTAAGTGGTTAAAATCTCAAACCCAACCTATCAGTTGTATCTCAAATGAACAAATCAAAGCTATAACCAAAGCTATTCTATAGGAAAATATCCAAACCATCATAGCAGTAACATATCATTTGAAATAGTAAACTCCATCGAACATTTCATCTTAAATTTACCTCAATTAGCATAAACATTAACCAGTTAGGAAACTCAAACCCTCACCTTACAAAACGCTTATGCTCATCATTGTCTATGATTCCAGCGGTTCTTCCCGGCCCTACAAATTTAGTGTTAAACAATGAAGGTCCACCATCACTGCCACCGTCTTCATCTCCTGCCTGTACATTATCCGAAGCACGATCAACTTGCGGCTGCTGGGATTCCTCCTGGTCAATACCCTTCCTGAAAAAGTCAACACAATACTTCTCTTTATCTTCCTCATCCGACAACTCTCCTCTCACTAGCTTATCATATAACTCTGCTTTCTTCTCCAATGCCGCGTAGCTGACTGATCCATCATTAACCGCTTTCAGCTCAAGCTTGTCCCTGTAATCAAACAACAAAATTATGAGACCCCAAAAAGAAAAACCTATAATTTCCCCCAATTAGGTTAACGTTTATTCAAATAATAATAATAGTAATAAAATAAATAAAAAGAAGGGTAAATAGATTTACTTGAGGGCGCGGGCTTCGACGCCGGAGTTCTTGAGGGAGAAGGTATCGTGTGGGGCGATCTTTGTCTTGGCGCGGTGGTACTCGACATCGGGACCGCTCAATTCCTTGGATTTCTTCGATTCTTCTTGGGATTTGTAGAGTTGGGCTTTGAGTTCTAGGATTGAAGAAGCGCCGACGCCTTCGATGGCGCGGTGTTTCTTGGGCATGATGGAGGATTCGGTTAGCCATCCTAACGACTCCACCACCACCCTCTTCTTTCTCTCTTCCTCGCCCATTTTTATTTTATAATTTTTCTACAATTCAGATACCTTGCGTTTCTATGTTCTATGCTATTCCCTGAAATTTCTTTCGTTACGAAACGAAAATATTTGTAAAGGAAGAAATTTTATGCTTGCAGTTGTAAAGTTGTCTCCTTCCAAGACCCCAACGTTGAAAAGATACCGAATCGTCCACCCGTGAAAACCCGGGTCGGGTGGTTTGCCTTTTTGAATAAACACCCGACGCGTGAATAGACCGCAGATTAGCCGACTGCGAATTCGCTTGTGGGCTATTGCGTGTCCCACATTTTTTTTTCTTGTTTTCCTCAATTTTTTAAAATTCTACATTGACCCCAACAATTTATTCTCCTACCCTTGAATTTTTTTTTTTTGTTATTAACCCTATTCAAAGTGAAGAACAAGCAACAAAAATATAACTCAATTTAGAAGAATGAAATACATGATATTCATATATGCATCAGATTTCAGTTAACAGGTGGATATTTCACTCTTTCTGCGCTTTCCAAGAATATAAACAGAGAAACAGTGGAACCCCCAACTTTTTCACTTTGAAGGACTAGGGAGTTTGTAGTGTTTAAGGAACTTATTATTAGTCATATTCATAGTTAATTATTACTAAAGAAAAACCCAGTAGAATGACGTGAATAATAATACAAGGTATGAACTACAGGCTCTTCAAAGAAAGATCATTTGCGCTTCTTTCCTGTTGCTGCTTCCCAAGCCTGTAATATGTGGTTTACTATATCCTCCACACCATGCCCATGCTTCACCTGCAAATGTAAAATTTACTCAAATCATTAACAACTAAATTTTGTATTGTAATGCCAAGGGCCCCAAGCAATAAAACGTGTTTCTACTTTGCATTTTGTGGAAGATGAAATCAGGATACGGTTTGAGGGCATGAAGGGAATGATACAAGTTTCCTGATATTAACATATGTGTTGATTTGTACAGTAATTGATATGCAACACAAAGAAAAATAGCATGCTTTTATTTCACAATATGGTGATGGATGCACTGAACTACTCAACCAACCTGAGCAAAAACAAAGGGCCCTCCATCTCGCATGCGAAGTGCATCACGCTCCATGACAGCCAAATCAGCTCCAACTGCAGGTGCAAGGTCAGTCTTGTTTATCACCTATAATTAGATATAACAACATTCATGTCAAAACCCCAATAATTTTACTTATAAAACTGGAGACACCATGACAATAAATAGATCAAGGGGGCATGCAACAGCACAATAATATTAAATCAAATACCAGCAGATCAGCTTGGGTTATGCCTGGGCCCCCTTTCCTGGGGATTTTATCACCACCAGATACATCTATGATATAGATGATATAGTCAGCCAGTTCTCTGCTGAAGTTGGCAGCTAAATTATCTGCACTCACAAAGATTCCCATAAATGTGGAACTTTTCTGTTTTGAACTCATTCTCCCATCGCTGACACTCTAATTTATAACTGTTTCACTAATTTAAAGATGCAATTCCAATATATGTTAGGCAGTACCTTATGCCTCATTTGTGAATTTCAAAAACGATTCACTGACGATACCATCTACTACTCTTTCTTTTTCATTTTTCTTTGAGGAAAAAAAAAATCTTTTTTAGATAATCTTCACAATGCGCTTCATTCTCAAAATTTACATACCAAATCACTTCAATAAAACATTACACCTACCTCCTCCAGATTCACAAAGAAGGATATCTGTTTTGTACAAGTTAGAAAGTTCCTCAAGAGGACCAAGATTGATGCTGATGTCTTCACGAATAGCAGCATGAGGGCAGCCTCCTGTTTCTACAGCACGTATCCTTTCCTCTGGAAGTGCCCCATGTTTCACCAAGAACTCACCATCCTCCTTTGTGAATATATCATTTGTCACCTGAAGTTATGACATGCTTCCCAATGTATCATTTAAGTTTAACCCATTTTTAAGTCCTCATGCTGATTTTGAAGAACTCAAAGCAATGATGATTGTTAATATATGCCAGCCATCAGTGAGAAGGCTGAATGTCAGTCCAAAAGAAATGGATTCTCCTCAAAGTAAGCAATGTATTCTTAAGTTTGGTGGGATCTCCGATGTAACCTTACTCAAAAGCAGAGTTAGGAGATCCAGTAAACAAATTCGCTGCAGCTGTAGATGCAATGAGTGACCTGACGCCCTTTCTTAAACCTTATAAAAAGTGGGGGCCCTGCTTTACACCACATGGTACACCTACGGTCAAGCTATCAATCTGCCTACTTAAAGAAACTATCAGCCACCAGGTCGCATCTTCTTAAAGAATGACCACAATGGCACAGCTTAATCAATTAATCTCACAGTCCAGATGACATTCAGAACACCTCTCTGAGAGCATGTGGACATCAAAGAGCTAAAGATTTAAATTTAAAAAGATAGGTAAACTGTTACCATCAAATGCTATCTCAAAGTACAAGATGCATGATACTTACAGCAGCAAGACTGTACTTATCCCGCAGGAATTTACATAAAGCCAGCATTAAAGCGGTTTTCCTGTATGGCATGAACCAATATCATGTCAGAACCCATTTATTAGGATGTTTTAACATAGAACCAAGAGTTGCATTATAGCCATATAATAAACAGGGGAAAAACAATGATAGACCCTGACTTGAAGAGAAAGAACCAACCAGGAAAAAAGCATTCTAGAATGTCAGCAAAACATAACACCAAAACCTTGAAAAACTAATATTACTTGACAAACAAAGACGAAAAGAGTATAATATCCAGGGACTTGGAAAATACAAGAGATTTCACAAAAAATGTAACACTATGGAATTTGCGGAGCGCATTTCATACTATTTACCAGCAATCACTAAGCCGGAGTCTCCACTAATTCATATACAATAAAGCATCATCTTTGTTGAAACTTCGTGAAGTAGCAAAAATTTATCATTTCTCAAACAGCTGTAGCGAAGAATAACAACAGATACTGATATACAAAAATGCAGAGTAACTGAGTAAGTCAAAACAATGTTAATTGTTGATACTGAGGAAGAGTTAAAGGAAACTAGGAAATACCCAGTACCAACAGGACCACCAATACCAACGGTAAAAGCTCTCTCATTGAAATCCCTATTGCCAAGTGGTGGAGCTCTTCTGCTGAAGAATCCAGGTGAGTAAATGGGTTCGTGTGAGTGTGGTGCCAGTCCATCATGGCTATGGTAAACCCTCCCATCAGCTCCCACCCAGGATGTTGTTGATTTACTGTTGCATAACAAAATTTAACCAGAAACCAGATCATCAAAGAGTTATACCCCATTAAAACCGCAAAATTTATACTATGAGATTGTTACTTACTCATGATCATGATCATGATGGTGATGGTGGTCATGGTCATGGTCATGGTCATGATGATCATGGACATGGTGATCATTGGAAGCCATTTGACTGCAATCTGCAAAGGTTTTACTGTGGGAGTCTCTCTTCGTGTCTGTTCAGAGGGAAATGAGGATTAATGGATTATGATAGTGAAATCACAACAATGCCCCTGTCACATGTGATACGGTATCTTTTGTCATTGTCTTTGACTGGTTCGTACATTCGTTGGATTCTGATTCGGAAGAGGGCATTTTCTAAATGATAAGTGGGAATCTTAATGCAAGATAAGAGTGTTAATTAAGAATTGATGAGGCATTCGAGACAACAATCTTATTTTATGATCAAAAACTATCTTTCAGTGTTGACAAAACTTAATGTTTAATGGCAGCTAATTTTACAAATTGCAGCATGAACAATAGTTAATTAGTGCAACACTAATCCATCATTCATGAATTTGGTAATAGCAGAGTTTATCAATGAAATTATGAACAGGTATTGAAGTTTTGAAATTAATCCATCACGCAACAATGATTGACAATACATGGATAAGCCAAGTGGAACAGAGAAAAGTTGGGAGATGTTAGATTTTGATTCGGGTCTCTGGCTCATATGCCGGATATGCCAGGCCGTCAGTATTGAGGATCCCTTGAACTGGGCTTCTCAAATCACCTGGTTTACTGCAAAGAAAGATTGAGCCCCGTGATAACACAATTCGGTTGGGTTAGGTTAATCAAACAAAAATTAGAATAACATTAATAAATTATCATTCATTCATCAGCATCTCCAGATATAGAGGTTTACAAACTTTGATTACATTTCTCAAACATGTCACACTATATGCTAGTATTTCATTTTCCTACATATATATATACATACATCTCAATTACCTGGAAACCCCAATTTTGATCACAGCAAAATGAATATATATATATATATATATATAAGGGAAAAATGATGAGTTGTTCATACTCCACTTTTTGATGCATGTATATATTCTCCATCAAAAGTATTCTTCAAAGGGTGTGCTTTGTATCAGCCATGAAAGGCATCAAAAAGTAGAGTATGAAACTTTTGCCTACTAGATAAAGATCAATTTGCAAAAAAAACAAAAAAAAAGAATCCAAAGTCAGTCAAACAAATTCCTAAGCGCATTACGCTTGCCACATGGTTCAGGCAACATGACCTTTTGGTTATCTCTTTGCTCAGTGGCATTCTCTTGATCAGAGGGTGGGGTTGGCTGGGGAGCATTGCCTAGTATCAGCCCTTGCTTTTGTATATACTCCCATTTGTCTTGGAAGAGATAAAAGAAAGCAATGAAAGAGACCTCAGCAGTGAAAAGTATAGTCCAAATGCCAGTACTTCTCGATGTTTTCTCATGGTAGGCATTTAAGCCAGTGTAGATGTTAATGATCCCCACCAGAGATACCACTGTTCCAAGAATCCAATGCGTTAAGTACCATGTACTTCTTCTTTTATTTCCTCTGTAAACCAGGATTTGATACAAAGATGGAAATATTAAGTATGAGGTTTGGTGAACCAGCATCAATTTCAAATGTGAGAGAATAAATGGTACCTAGGAGGCCTGAAAAATCCAATCAAGGCTTGTATCCAAATGGCACCATAAAGGGCTAGACCTAATCTTTGGTGGCTATTATTGAATGAATTCTCAAAATTCTTTATGGACATGACAGCACCAATTGTTCCAAGAAGCACTGCAAGTATCTGTATAGATGGTGAAACAAAAGTAGAAACAGTTAAATGAAAGGGAAATTAAGCAATCATGGCAACAACTAGCAATTTCTAAACCATCTCGATCTGTAAGAAATGTATATGGCCGGTTCTTGATTTCTTCTCAATCTTCTTTTTCCTCTTCACTACATAGTTTGCTTATGTAATTATAGTACACCTCCATATATATAAAGTAGTAAATTTAAGAAGAAAATCGGAATCAATAAAAAATGCAGTACTGAGCAAACCAACCAAGCACAAAAACATTGACACATGAAGCAGGCACATGATATGATTATATGGACAAATAAAGTACATGATCACCCTTTCTTCTTATTCAAGTCTTCATGATAAATATGATTAAGTTGGTTTAGATCAGTTACTGGGAAAAAAACCATGGGCTGTAAGAAGAAATTAAAAATTGTGGACAGCATCATTAAGTGAAAGTGGGTTCTAATAGTTATGAAATAAAACAAACAACCAGCTCTATATGATCTCTTCTTTGCACCCCAAATAAGAGTTATATCTGCAGCTATCTGTAAAATTTGTTGCAACAACATATATGCTATATCTTTCTTTTCCTTGGTGAATGTAGTGCTAATATTAAAGGATACCTGCAACAAGGCATGGAGATAGAATAAAACTTTAACCCTTCTCCCACCTTCCTCTTTGTTGGCCATTCTAATAAAAAGAATCCCAACAGGCATTAAGAACCCCATGGAAACCCAGAGTAGAAGGCCATGAACGGCGATATAAGATGTCATTTGAGGACTCAGCTGCAATATTTTTCATTAAAGAGGTATGGTTAAACTCAATCATGTTGATTATCTTCTGAACTTAGATTTGTTAATACTTGATGCATTTCAAAAACAAAAGAAGTAGGGGAAGATGACATGAGGATGGAATTAAGAGAGGTAATATATCAATTGATTTGAACTTCCTTCGAGGCAAAACAAACTAGGACAAAATTTGGCATACCTTGTGTACATTCTCTTTAATGCTCTTGTGACTGCTGGATGCAGTCGCCTCCCCATGAGATGAGCAAGAAACAAGTGGTAAAAGAAAAACATATAATGCAGGAATGGTGAATGACCCTAGCAAATGAGAAACTTGCATCTTCAATATCCAAGCAATGGAGAAAAGAACTTAAAGCATGCAACCTTGCTTCAACTACCAACCCTCTCTTTCCTTTTTGCTTCCTCTCAGAAACCTCAGCTTTTCATATCTTTCTTTATGAAGATAAAGAAAGACTCATTGGACTACAGTTAATCTGAGTGGCCATTAAAGCATTAGAGAGGAGAGGAAAAAGTTGTTTAAATGAGTCAGCTCTTCAAGAAACTGCGTCTCTGCTTTTTGTATAAAGAAGCTAATGTGCTATAATTAGTGAATACAAAAGGGGAGCTGCAACCTACCAGTCAGTATTGGCTAAACATTTTATAAGCATGGGCAATCTATGGTTGGTTGTAGAAAGAAGATTGTTATATAGGATTAAAAAGGTAACTGAGGGTTACCAAAAGACAAATAAGAATTTCAAAATTGTGGGGTTGACATTGCCTGCTCTTTTTGGTTGCCTAAAACTGCCACAAACACAAGATGGTCAAGGATTCAATGGATGGAACAAGGGGGCGGTGTAGTGGGATTACACAGTTGATAACGAAGCTTATGATCTAATCCTAGATTACTCAATGATTTAGACCTCATTAAATCTTAATATTACAATATCTGATTCACTACCTAGCTAATGGATTAAGATTTAAGGTTCTCAATGCTGAAAATATGTAAGTCTTGAATCATATCTAATGGTTCAAGAACCACTAAGCAACAACAAAATGCAATATCTCTACCATTTGCTTTCATTTTGAAAACAATAATTGGTCATTGAACATTAAAAGCAACAGAATTATTGCTATGTTGAAGTTCTTTAACGAATTATGAACAAATGGAGCTTTACAATATAAAGGGAGACATACAAATGAGTAATTTTTATCCACCGACCCTCTCTTGAGGAGGCAATGTTCAAAGTTTTGCAATAAGACTAGAGTCAATATTCCTTTCTCTTTCCCCTTTCCCCTTTCCCCTTTCCTTCTCCAATCTACCATCTCTCTTCTCTGCCTTGCGTTTGACATTAGTTAGTTACTTAGTTCTCAATAATGGCGGCAGCTAGCTAGGCACATCGTTTTCAGTTTATCTAGAATCTTTTGGCCTATGTTCAAAACAAAAGATCCTTGACCCAGAACATGGGATATATACCCAATTCTTGGACAGACAGACACCAACCTAATACCGCATTTCAAACTTATTCTACATTATTGCAATCCCTTTTTTTGTTTTGACTGATGTTGACAAAGTTTCAAACTAATGCATGAGAAAAAGAGAAGAAATATACTTGCATGACCAATATTATTCCATGGATTGTAAAGGTAAAAAGACAGAGAGAATGGTACAAGACATGTGGGCTTACAGAGATAGTGCAACTTTTGGTGCAGGCAAAAATCAAAGATTGAGATTGAAACTTCAACTGCTCTTTGTCCCACCAGGGCAATTGAGCATTGCACTCGATTTCTTCAGATTCATGATAACGACGCGCACAAACACAAACTGACAGAAATCAGAGAGGTTGTAATTTGGCTACTCCATGAAGATTATCCAGTCGTTTTAACTCACATGTGAATATGCTTTACTCCTATTATCTAAATTAAATCCAATTATTGTTTGAAATGAGCTACCATATGTATGAACAAATATTATTCTATTTGACAACTTTCCAGCAAATCCAATGAATTTAGTTCAATCCCAACTTCAGCTAATTAAAGTGGAAATGGACATAGAAAAAGAAAATCAGCCACAGAATCATTAATCTTGCAGCTGAACCCGAACTCATCCAATCAAAACTTGCAATTAGTTCCTCTCCTCACTTGTAGGCAAAGAACTTCATTACTGGGTTTTTTTTTTTCTTGAAGAGGTTCATTCAGTCTTGTAGTATATTACATAATTTAACAAGAAATAATCATCTTTTTATATTATAAACACCAATCATTTTTTTAATCAAGAGAGCTTAAACTTGGAACTTAAAAGTTAATATAACTACTCTAAATTCCAATTATTAGTTTTCCAAACCTTTTGTTTGAAAAATTGACTGTAAAAAACTTGAAAAGAATATTCTTGATTAAGACGGTTCTTTTAAAAATATGTAGCAAAACATCTCCTTTTCGTTAATTCCTCGACTAAATAATGACATTAGATCTTTTGCAAAGTCGTAGTAATCATTACCCATTGCATTATATTCCATGAGCAATTCTTAAAGAGAGCAAAGGAGATCATCACAGATTTGGTAGGCAATCAGCATCATCATCCTCATTATCCTTTGCCCTATGCTAACCAAAAAGAAAATTGTTTAACCTGGTAGATTTTGTATACTTCAGATATATATAGTTTGTTACCTAAGTTCGTACATCAAATATCAAATGCTACATCCTACACCTCTATGTATCAAACTCACAAGTGGAGAACAAATGACCTTTACCTTTGCAAAACTTTTGCTTTTCTTTTCTTTGGGTACTGTCTTTGTGCGCCACTATCTGCTTTTCTCGTACTAGTTCAAAAGGAAAACAACAAAATAACATTATTTGTTATAAAAATTTATGAGAGAGGCAGTGTTTAATTTCGATTTTTACTATTATATAGAAACTATAATTATAAGATGGAAAGGTTTCAGTGGTCCTGGTTGGCTGATATGATTATGTTTATGGTTAATACTTTTCTTGATTGGTAGGGTGATTCTGAATTAGTATTGTTATTAGCTATTAATTATCAACAGCCAATTAGTTAATAATTGATTAGTATGAAGTGAAGAAAAGAAGCTTCCTTTCTTAGAGGGTGAAATGCTGAGTGAGTTATTGTTCAAGACTCCTCATGATTTTCTAACTGGATGTGCGTGATTGGTTATTCATCACAAAGAAAAAAAAGGGTGGTTTGGGAGGGATTCCATGGTCATAGTGGTAACTGTCATGCTTCCGGCGTTAGCTCGTAGAGTTGCGAATGAAGAAATTGAGTCATCGGGTTAGATAAGCGAGGTGACTTTCGTTTGTTCCTAACGCAGATTTTGCGGTGAGAATGGGAACGATTGGGGTTAAGAAATCTCAACTTCTGACGAAAATGCAAGAACATATGGACGCCGTTGCGTTCATGCGTGTGAAAGAGAAAGTCAAAAAATTGAAGGGAGAAATTTGATAAATTCTTTTAATCACAACAGCCTCGTTTTTGGCAAGTGTATAAAGGCATCCAGCCAAATGATTAAAACTGGTTATCAGGGTGTCAAGACCACGCAGGAAGAACTAGCCCAATCTTCTTAATCATCAGCTCAACTCAAGTCCCCAAAGGAGGATCGATCAACATCTAATGGAATAGCAAGTTATAACCCAAAGTTAAACAATGTATGCGTAGATGTTTGACCAAGTACTTTCTGTTGCTTCCAACGTCGTCGTTTGTTTACCATGGGCAGACGACTATGCTGTCCTAAATGTGATGTGTCATATGCATGAAGAGACGACAGACCACTGATTTATTCACTGCCCTTTCCCTGTGAGGATACGGTTTGCACTCTGCATCCATGTCGGAAGATATGATCGATAGAAACACACGAAACTTGGTGAGGTGATAATTGCATGATTTGAACAAAGACTCAGAGTAGACTAATTAGACGAGAGCAATTTGTTTTGAGTTGCATAAGTTTGTGGGCTATTTGATTGGAAGAAAGAAACAATGTCGTTTTCTGTTTGTCAAATCCCACGTTTCGCTGATGCATTGTCGCCCAATGAAACAAGGCCAAGCATGGCAGAAATGAGCATTTGGAGCCCTAAGCTCCAGGCAACCCGAGAAAAATTCACCAGTTATATCTCTAGAGCAAAAAAGGATAACAGGTAACAAAGATGGGAAGCCTTGTCACCGTACCACTAGCCCGAAAAATGGTAGAAATCCCTAGTTTGAAGAAGCAATTGACATTCCTGCAGCTTTTTCTACTAGTCTTGAAGGAAAATGTGACAATTTTTAATAGGTTAGTGTTTCCATCTATCTTTGAATTACCATTTCCAACCCAAAAATATATAAATCTAAACTTTTCCGGTCCAAATTTTAGAAAGTAAATTGCTCAAGGACTGTATAAAAATTTCTTCTAATATTGAATGCAAGTTGCAGTCAGAAATCAAAACCCTAACGAAATGAACTCAAACATTAAATTGTACTTACTGTTATACTTTATAATGAAAGTGAAACGACAATCACATACCATACCAGCTTTTATAAGTAATGAAAGTGAGAGACTGAAACCCAAAAGAACCAAGTTCAACCTGTCTGACAGCCTAGGCTTCTCAAATAAAAGCAATATCCGATAAACAAACTGATAGAAGTGCACTACCAAAAATTTCAGAATTAGAACCATTTTTAACTCTCTCCTTTATGAAATGGGAGAAATTACATAAACAAGTTGGGCCTTGATGCCTTGTAGGTTGTCTTCAGCTTCCTGGTAGGTGGCCTCACCTTCTTGAACACCAAGGGGAACTTGATTTTGGAGTTGTGGAACTGCTTGGTGCTATCCCTCTTGCATAGTTTAGCAGGGATGGTTGCAGTCTTGATAATCTGGATGCAAGGGAACCTGACCCTATGCCGAGAAGCCATCTCGTTGTACATCTGCTCAACAGCTCCATTCAAAGTAGTGTCACGGTATTCCTTGTACATGTTATGATAACCAGTACGACTTTGATAGCGAAGCCAAATACCATAATTCTTAATCTTGGTAGGATTCTTCTCAAAAATCTGCACAGAATCTAAATTAGACACAGGGCATTGAAAGAAAGCTGAAAAATGTATCAGAAATCAAGTTCCCTTTGGTGCATCAGATAATCAATATGCAATCACTATAATTTTTCTTTTTTAATAGAAGCCACCATACAGATAGTAAATGACTTTGGATCAACAAGCAAGGAAATGACAAGAAGTAAAGGTCGTAACTTGTTGCAGCATCTTCTTGTCAAAGATTTCAAACCAATTTAGATTCCAACAACTGCTTTCAAATTCAAAATCTTAAACATATAGCACAAAAAAATGAGCAATCAATAATTCAAAGCAATGACATTTACAAACAAAAGAAGAATATGCCTTCACAATATAAAGAACCAGAAATTCCATATTCAAAATTTATATTTGCTCAAAGCCTAAACAAATTTAGGCTTTTTCTTTACTATCTAACTTCCCTGTTTCTCACACAAGAAATTTACAGACAGCTGCTGATCAAACACAAATTCCCGTCTAAATTGCACAGAAACTAATTGTAGGCAAGTCACAAAAAATTTCTTCAGACACTAATCAAAATGACCCTAGCTTTAACAAAAATATTTAAACATACATACAAAAGGATACTTCTCCTATTCACATTTCAAAACATCATACCATAAGAAATTACTACGTATAGAGTGCACCATCAAATTATTACCTCATTGATGGCAAGGACTTGACCATTGCTCTTCTTAACCTTCTTCAGCTTCCTCAAGAAGTACCTGATGAATATTCATGGACAAACACCAAAGTCATAAACCTTCAACAACTTCAATCAAATGGGAATCAAATTAATCGCCCAAAAAATAATCACTAACCAGAACTTGGACTTGGCCCGAACCTCATTGGTGGCCCACAGCTTCATCCTGTAGATCTTGGGGTGCTCATCGCTCTCCGTTGGGAGAGCCCTCCCAACAACCTGGTACTGGTGATACTGCAACCATTAACAAAACCAAAATCAAAACTTTTTTTTTCTTGTACTAATTCAACATTAGCTTAAAGGAGTTACAACTCGCTTTGTTGCTAAGAAAACTCATTAAAACAATAGAAAATGAAGCTTTTTATCCCATATTTTACCAACCATTTCCAACGAGATGAAAAAGGAAAAGTTCGCATGGATCGAATCAAAACATAACAAACTAAAATTGTAATCAGAGGAGTAATTACAAAACTTTGAAACTAAAAGATGGAAATCGAGAGGCTAGGAGGGGGAAGATCTGAGAGAAGAGAATCGTTGGCCACTTACCCTGAAAGTAACCATTTCTGAGGAAAGAGAATATCTGAAGAAATTCGCAGCCCCCCCTCTCCCTTACTCTTTCGCTCAATGTAGGAGAAGAGGAATGTAGGGTTTTCTTTCCCTTATATACTAGCTCTTTGACAGATCAAAACCCTAGACTTCGCAAACGGGGCTGGGTCGGGTTGTCTTTAGTTGAGCAGGTGTCACTTATTTGTTCCGGGTCGGCACATTATATCTCGGTCCAAAATTATGTCAGTTTTGACCTTCTGGGTCTTATATGAAAGCCCATGGTGAAACTTATTTACATCCTTTTTCCATTTCGGCCCAAAATCGAACTGATATCAACCCAATGGTGAGCATTATATCTTTTCGTATCTTCAGCTTTGATCCAAAAAGAACTCTATGCAAATGGTTTTTTTTTTATCCGGGTACTTTATTACCTAATATGATTAAGTAAAATAAAGATATTCGATCCATAGATTCGAGTAGTAAAATTACTATCCACAGGTTCGAGTAGTGGTTTTACAAAATTTATTATCCGAATTTGATTATAAATAATATTTTTTAATATTAAATTTTAATTTTATATTTTTTTATTTATGAGTTCTTTATAATTAGTGTAATACTTGCTAAAGTTTATTACTAGTCCTAAATATGATTCTAACGTTAATTACTTTTTATAAACTTTAATTTATTAAATTAATTTTTATTAATAAATATATATATAAATTAATTTTAAATTTAATTTAATAAGATATTTAATGGATAAAAGTATTTAACAAGTAATGTCTAAAATATTTAAATACGAGTTCAAATAACAAATCAAATATTTAATTAGATATTTATAAAAATCGAATACTCTATTAAAAAATAAGATTCAAGATAAGATATCTCCTAAATAACAAATACCTTAACCATTGGCATTCCCATCCCATTGGTAAACTAAAAATTACCAAATAAAAATATGCATCATCGTGGAGATCAGCTAGATTAGGCATAATGTTGATTTTCATTTTCATTAGCCGTTGTTTAACCCTGTATTAACCAGGCGTTAAGAAATGTTACCTAGACCAATTAGAGACTGGGTTTGCTTCCAACTTCAAATTAAATGCTTGTAAGGATGAAGTCCCGATTTCAAGTAACTAGGGAGCGGAATCACAAGTTCTTTCAAATCAGTAAGCCACTCATAATAATGGCAAAAATTCCGAAGTACATACAACTATATGCATAAACATGAATACCCAATTCTGGGGGTTGGCTTTAATGAATACAACAAGAGTTTTTCTGAATAATTTTTCACAAATTACAACCACCAATCATTCTGGGATTCTTCACAAAATGTACAGCCACCTTATAGTCCACCTAGACCTCACCAGGCATAAGCTGCCTTTGTCACACCAAACGTGACAGCAATCATTGCGAGAACAGACTGCACAATTAGAATGGAGAGCACCGAAGAGGAAAAGATTTTAGTGAGCTACAATGGAGGCATTGATCCTCATTTCTCACAAACAAAAGAAACATCTATATTCAATTTCCAGAGAAACAGCTGGGGAATGAGCAGTCAAGATTAATGAAGCATGATGCACAAACCAGTGAAGCTATGCATCAAGTATTAATGTATAGAAATTACCACTCAGTTTCAAAAGGCAGTGATCATGTCAACCATACATGCCAATCCCTTTGGTTAGCTCAATAAGTAAAAGTGCAAAACAACATTATGTCTGCTAGCAGCACTGCTCATAATTGAATTTCTTAGAAATCAAGATAAGTTTAACAGATAAAACCCTTCTGACACAGTTATGAAACCTACTCCAAATAAAAAAAGTTGCATCAGTGCATGATCAGCAATGATGAAACATGATATTGAAAATCTTTTCGACAAAAAAAAAAACAGGCAAAAGAGACAAGCAAGGCACTGAAGCACAAGGGACTTATCTAGAGTAGACAATGAAGCAGCCAGAAAGAAAGCAGTGGCAAAAAGTAGTTCTATCGGCATTCATAGATGACAAAAGAACAACTTTAGCATCTTTTAAATCATGAAAACTGAACGTGTAACTTTACAGAATAAGTATTGGGTGGCAAATAGGGTAGTCCACTCAAACTGATGATGGAATGACATAGAAAAACAAGAGGACTTTTGCTTTAATTCACTTCCTTGTGAGTTTCCAAACATATTTTTAAAATGCAGACGCATCAGTATCAATCTCCAGTACAGTGGATAAAAAAGCAAGACAAGAACGGTACACAAAGAACCCATAGGCAAATAAGAAAAGAAATGATAAAAAATGAACACTTACAGCAATTGCACATGCAAGGTATCCCGCTTTTTCTCTATAATCCACTTGGACACAGAGTAGAATGAATGTTCCAATGTACCAGGGAATGCCACCAATGAAGAAGCCAAGGAAAAACCTACCCATGGCAACCAAAAAATTATAGTCAGTTAACAAGAAACTGATTTAAAAGATGGAATAAATTTGGACTGGCAACAAATGCTGGAGTTTTTGCTTCTCGAAATCCTAAAAGCAAGAACAAGAATCAAATACCAATTTGATCCAGTCCAATTTAGAGGTCCATTCCTCGAAAATTATTGCAGTAACACAGTGTATCTCTAATACCTATCTATTTTCCCATACATTGACATCTCAAGTTCTTAGAGCATGCATATCGTTCTTTATTCACATTTCCCACAACTCAAATAGGTTCTAATTTTCACTAAGTCTATCAAATAGGCAGTATTACCCTGAGATATGCATTTTTTGTACCTTTACTGATTGCGAATGACTACAATAGGGACAATAATTTCTGACTCAAATCTCATATAAGCAGACCCCAAAGGAATCAATATCTGACTCTTTCGCAGCCAGTCAGCTTACAAATGTCGATATTGACATCTAGATGACAAACATATTTATTACTTGACTGAAGCCAAAAAAAAAAAAAAACCAATTAATAAAAAACAAGTCATGGTTACATCAATATGTTTATCTGTCAGCATTCATAACAATCTATGCACAACAAAAAATCACTCTAAATGGCCATAAGAATCTATGGGAAAACCTACCCTCGTATTGTTATTAAACAATAACAAATACTAAAATCCAAAACTTACAATAACCAGCCCATTCCAAGACCACAAACAGGAAGGCGACGTTGCCTCAAAGGCGTTGCTTCTTCGACAGGATAACCTTCAATAACGTCAAATTCAACCAAAGATTCAGAAACTCAACTCCCTTTTAACGATCAATAACCCAATCAACGAAAACCAAAATAAATACCAGTAATAAAATCTCATTTATGGGAATATTTACCGATATAAGGAAAATTCTTAATATGTTTCATGTACCTGTAACCGTCTGGTAGCCGTGGACATAGGGGTTGGCGGAGCCCGGCGGAGGAACGGGCTGAGGGAAGCCAACAAACGGCTGAGGTGGTTGTAGAGGGAAAGGAGGGTAGTAGTTGGCGACGCCTTGAAACGTGCCGTATCGATATTGACTTTGAGGGTTGGAAGTTACGCCTCTATTTTTCCCTTCTTCGCTCATTTTTTTTTTCTCTTGGCCGTGAGGTTTCGAGTTGGTGGCGTTTCGTCTATTGACTCCTCCGCCGCGGTGAAAATTGTAAGCGGCAGAATGGTGGTTGATAGGCTAAAAAAATCGGCCGTGCTATTTTCGTTGGGAATTGGCGGTGTTTTGGCGGATTAAGAGCCGGCGACTAGAATTTGGTTTGGACCTGAATTCCGAATTCCTGGATTAGGGCTGGATTATTTTGGGCTTAAAAGGATTGGGCCAGATTGTTCTTTTTGGATTGGACTGGGTTTTGTTTCTCTCTTCTTTTCTTTGAGGGGTGAGGATGTGTGTTATATTAATGGTCTATACAAATATATGATAGTTTTGCTTCTGATAAAATCCTCACTAAAACTTACAAAAAAATGTGAAAAATATATAATGTTACGTAAAACCTTACAAAGAATGAGTTTATATTTGATGCATTTTCAGTATATAGTATGAATACATGAATCAAATATTATCACATTGTTAATAAATAAATTAAATTTTTTTAAAAAATAAATACTCATAAATATTTAAAAATATTTATTTTGAATGACTTAAATTTTTATTTTTACACATTTATGATATGATATTTTGTGATTAAGTCATAGTATACAAGTATTATAAACTGATAGTATATCAAATATAAACCCATAAAAAATATGACAAAAAAAAAAAGAGAAAAATATGATGTTATAGAATTATTAAATTGTGATCAAAATGCTTAGATATGCGCATATTGTATACTTAATATATGATGAAACTTATTCTATCTTGTATATATGAAGGGCAATTAGGCTTCAAATGAGTTAATCTAAACATGGATTAAGTCATCTAGTAATACGTAATTATTTTTCTTATTCTTTTTCCAACACATGGAACTTTCAATGTTGACCACGACCACCCCTCTTTCCTGAAATTTTCTTTCAAACGATTTGAAATTTTCTTTCAAACGATGCCAATATTGTAACCCCTTTCCACTGTTGCCAATACTGCCGAAAATAATAATGCAAATCCATATACATCCGGTCCACCAGAATCTTTCCTCATTCAGCATGAACAATCTCAGCAATTATAGGCAGCAGCCAGAGGAATGACCAACTTGAAAACTCCTGGCAGTACTACTCTTCTTGGTTACGTCTTGGACCGAGCAGCTTCGGGAACAAGAAACTAATGTTCTAGAAACAGGTCTTGCCAAAGTTACAGAATCGATAAAATGGTGCCGGACCCTTTCTGCATTTAATTTGGAAAAAAAAAAAACACTCGAGAACTGGAATTCTATTCTTTGAATAGAGAAATCTTATATTTATTATTAAATGATCTAAAAATATGGATTGGTTTTTAAGTTTTGATTCTATCGAATCCAATTAAATATAAGGCAAGGCAACGTTCATGTTATTAAGAGAATTGATTGGAGCATGATGGGAAAGGCAAACTCAATCCACTGCCCTCCATAGTTTTCATCTCTTTCTCTTTCTTCTCACGTGGTTGTCCCAAAGATAACGTGTTGTTTCAGCGGATTTCTGTTTTCAAAGATATGCTAGAAGATAATTACTATTTGCAGTCTGTATAATGAATCAGGGGGCAAAGAAACGAGAGATACGACCAATGTGCTATAAAACAGGAGAAGATTACATGTGTTGAATCAAAAATAAATGAAACCCTCCATTTAAAAATAAAAAAGAAACATAAAAGGCAAAATCAATTACCACGTTTGCTTGGCTGCTTTCTCTCTTCTTTTTTATATTTAATAAAAAGTCTAACCATGATTTAATTAAATTTTAGCCCAATTTAATTCAACGTTTTCTTTATTTTTTTAATATAAAATAATATCCCATACTTATTATTATTAAAAATATCGACGACGTACATCTTTTGTCGACCTGTTTCATCTTTTACCTTTTGTCTTTCAAATAATTAAAAAAAAAATGATGAAGTAACTTACGCAAAGGAACGATGTTGGAGAAATGTTTTTTAGAGAAAGGTCAATCTTTCATCTGATTGGCGTTGAGAGAAGGAAAAAAGGGGGTAGTCAATAGACCGACATTGACACGCAGGTGAAATTGTCATATTCATGCACATAAATCATCCTTTTTAGTGTCAAAATCTTCCTAGGAGGGCTACTTCTTTCTGTCTCATCGAAATGTCGAATAAGTTGTCAAGAAGCCAAGAACATAGCCACCACAAGGAAAAGGAGGGAAAATGCAAGTTTGGTTATTGGTGGAAGTTTATTAGTTTGACATACCAACAAAGACGGTCAAATTCTAATTTTTCCGGAATTAAGTAACAGAAGCAAGATGTTAAATCAGAGTCATTCCTAACGTCAGCAAATAATATTATATTCCTATGATACGAATAATGTGATGTCATGCTAATTTTTTTTACGAATATAAAAAAATTGGATTAGGAAGATGAATGCTAAGTTACAAGAGAGAAATACTAAAAAGTAAGATTCACTTCAACTAATACTCTTATCTGATTATGGAAAATCCTAATTAGATTTTAAATTATAATTATAAGTCCAAATGCACAAAATTCTTCTCTTAAGGAACGAATTAAAAAAAAAAGATAATAAACTTTGAGAGGATATAAAGCTAAATCAGGTGCTATGCCTATAAATATATATATCTTGATTAATGACTTAATCAAAAAGCAATATCACGTTCACAAATTTTTACTTTTATTTTAAATAATTAGCAAACACTAAATGCCGGGCAAGTGTAAGTGTTTTGGTATAATAAAAAATATTATTTATTTTATCTTAAAAGGATTTTGAATATACACATGCATGGACAGCGACCCGTTGGCCGTACGTAATGAGCATTAGGGAATGAGTTTGAGTATAAAGACAATTAGACTTCCCTAAACAGAGTGGCAGTTCAAAACTTTTGAGTTGTGCCCAGTATTAGGTTTATATTAATTAGGATATCTTAGAAAATAATTCAAAACTTTTGGTACCCTGCCTGCAACGGGGTACGCATGAGGCATATATGTCAGCCAGTGAATAGTGATTGGGTTCTCCGCCATATACGGTTGACCATGCACAATTCCATCTAGATGATTTTCGTTTTGATTTGCTAGCACAATCTGCCATGCTGTATGTTGTAGGGGTAGCATGTTTTTATCTCTGAGCTTTCTTGGATTCTCCGGCTTCTGCTCAAAAGTGACGGAGCCCACGAGCTTCTGACAGAATGGCTCAATTTGCAGCTCTGCCTGAAGAATTTAAGTGGGCCAAAATGTTGAGAACATTAATTATTTTCGGTCAAAGCACAAATGAAAAAAAAAAAAAAAACCCCACAGCATAATAACAACAGGTTCCAAAGCTATCAGTTTTCTTACGGCCTCGGGGTCGTTGGAAAAATCGCATTAGTGAAACAGCTCTTCTCGCAGGGAACATCTGTGATCTCAATGCGTCACACATGCATCAAATCTTAGATTAGCCATTCAACCCAATCTGGTCATACACAATTACAACTTTTTTGACCCATTGGCTGCAATTTTTGGCTTTGCTTCGAGTGCCATTTGCAAGATTTGAATCTCCACACAGGTACTAGTTTGCACCAGGAAATTAGGCAGGTCCAGGTAGCCGTTATTGTTGATTGTTGGTTGAGCTAACAATATTTTACTTGGTAACCAATAAATAAAAAGGTAAAATGCTATGGTCTATGCATCCGTTTGGAGTTAGGACAAAATGGAGGGATAATTTTTAAGATGCCTGTCATTTTCCATTTTATTACAACTAGATGATTGAAAGTGGCAGCTCTCCTTTTTTTTTTCCTTTTGCTATTTTGATTCCAAAATTTTTAGAGCACTCACGAGAGAAAAGAAATAATGGTGGTGGACACAAGTACATATACTTGATTGATTTTACTCGATGGGAGATGCTAAGTATATTTTAGTACAAACATTGCCGCGCCTTGGGCATATTTGACCTCTTGTTGCCTTTTTTGTTTTTTCGTTTTTTCTATTTTTGTGTTTTTTGATATTTGGTATTAATATTTATAATTAAATACTAGTATTATTTGCTATAATGGTATGCATGCTAGCATTCGTTGTCAACAATGAAATAACAGATAATTAAACATGTACTATGTGACAATGCATGACGCAATTCCAATGAAAGCACACCAAAGATAATACTTTTTCACCTTTTTAAACTTATGGTACATAAAATTTATAGTATAACACCTTCAATTATTTTCCTTTTTTTTTTCCATGATTTTTTGAGTGTTGGATGGCGAAAATAAGCAAGACTTATCTTATCATTACGGTTGAAACTTGAGAGACTCTGATTGAGACCTTAAAAGTAGGTATGGAATGCCATATTTAGCTACATTTCAAAACACAATGTGAAACAAATTCAAAAGTTAATGCAAAAACAAGTTGAAACTCACAAAAGTCCCGCAGCTTAAACGAGTAATGAGTAATGACGCGACATTAGCTAAGTATCTTTGCTATGATGCCGCCGTCCCATCGAATTCTTAGGCGAAAATTTTCAAAGCCAATATGAAATTTGCCTACTAACAATGATGCAATGGATGAATCAATTTCTAACCAAGAAGGTTAGGGATTATTTTTTTTTCCAAAAATTTCCTATTTAAAGATAATGATCACATGCCTCAATTATTTGAGTTGTCAATTTCCAACCAAACCCACATGACGCATAAATTTGTTGTTACTAATATGTTTTTTTAGTAGGATTATCCTTTATATTAGCTAGTACATTCTATTATTTTAAATATATCTTTTTGTACGTATCCATCCAAATGACTCGAATTAAATATATTGCTATGAACCGCTTATCTTAACTCACTCTCTTCACTCACTACTCAAACCATGATTAATTGAAAATAGAATCAAATTCCATGAAACAATGTAACAGTGAGAGACAAAGGACAATCTGATTGAAATTTTGAGGTAAATTTTTATTTGAAGCCTAAAACAAACACCAACCCAATTAACCCCCAATCAATGTCTCCAACACAATTTTTTTTTCCTTTAAAAGAATATATCTGAAGCGTTCATCAACTTCTCTGTACACGTACCCCACACACACAAAGAATCATTAACGAGAACAATGTTTGACTGTTCCACCCCTTGAAGAACGCGAGAAACAACGACAATCCCAGCAGGGCACCAAGCCCGGGAGAAAAGAGAACAGGGGAACAAAAGAAGGGCATTTAGGTCAATTAACAGAGAGATTAGGATAGCGTGCGCACCGCCGAGAGAGGAAAACCTTGCACCCGTCTTTCGGACAAATGGTAGGACAATACATGATTTCATCACAGCCGTCAGTCCGGTGCCTCTTGAAATCCAGCAACGTAGCGAACATGGCAATGAAAAGAACCAGATGATTCAAGGCGTACCTTTGGCCCACACACTGGTGTGGTCCAGCCCCGAACGCCAGGTAGTTCCGCTTGAAAATCACGTCCTCTTGCCTCTCCTCCGAGAACCGCTCCGGTTCGAACCGGTCGGCCTCCGTAAACCCTTGGAATGACGACTCATAAACCGATGGGAAAACAATCGTGCCCTTGGGAATCGTGTACGATTCGGTCAACCGGAAGTCCTCCATCGCAATGTGCGGCACTAACGTCGCCGGCGCCCGATATCTCACCACCTCACGCGCCACCGCTTGCGTGTACTTCATTTCCCTCACTTGCTCGGCGCTTATTAAAACATCCGATTCCGGCGACCATATCCTCGAAACTTCCTCCCGAACTTTTCGAAGAACATCGGGGTGCGAGTCGAGGAGCGTCACCGCCCACAGAAGCGACGACGTGGAGGCATCTTGTGCGGCGAAGAGGAAGTCGAAGAGGTAACTGCCGATTTCTTGGTCGGCAGAGCGAGGCGGCACGGCTTTTGACTCTCTGATTTCTCTAACGGTTTCTTGCATCCAATAATCGATTAAACAAGAAGGCTCGTCTCCTTGGAACATTCTCTCTTTACTTTGAGCAGCGCAATCAGTAAGGGTTTTGACCAAGCGCTCAACTGCCAGCCTGGCGTTTCGGAACGCGAAACCGGGGAGATCAAACGGGAGCTTCATTAAACCAGTGTTGAAAAAATTATAATCGTCCCTGAATTTCTCGCGAGATTCACGAGACAAATACCTGCCAACGAAAACGGTTTGAGAAGTTTCTAGATTCATGTCGCGAACTAAAAGGCGGAGAGAAATCGGCTCCACCGGCGATTCCGAGGAAAGACGCTCCCATGATTTTAAGTGTTTGAGAATGATGATCTGCTGCAACGTGGTGTAGGTTGAGAGTGCTCTGGGAGTGAAGTTAGGAGCGATCTGACGGCGGAGATCTTTATGATCCTGTCCGAACATATAGATCAAGTTATGTTCGCCAAAGAGTTTTTTACCAAAAGGATGTCCCACAAGTAAAAATGCATCGGGTCGGACGTTGGCGAAGATAAGGTGAGAGAGTTCAGTGCTTCGGATAAAGACGATGAATCGGCCGACGACATAATTAATGGAAAATCCAACGGAAGCTGCTAACTCAGCTTGAAGCTCCCAGAATCTTGTCGGCTTTCTGATCAATGAGATTGCGTTGCCCACGAAGGGAAGGATGATGTTTGGACCAGGGGCATTTCGTTTCTTTCGCAAGTAAGAGATCTGTTCCAAGAAAAGCACAAGAACGAAAAAGGTGACCAAATATGGAGTTAAAGGAGAAAGAAAGGATAGAAAAGAACTCATTTTTCCTTTTCTTTTTAAAGTTTCGGTTTGAGAGGAAACTGATGGAGGAAGAAGGGTTTAAATAGAGGGTGAAGAAGGGAAGTGGCAGTCAAAGGAGAAAGAGAGAGGTTTATGGGTTTGAAGTTTCAATTCAAGAGAGTCAGGTGACTGAAGCACAACCCAACGAGCTTCATGTAAAATGCTGTTTTACACATTTTACTTAACTTTGTACGGAGCGAGTGGATCAGGGGAGGCGGGGAGGAAGAGAGAGCAAGCGCAGCACCTACGGGGGACGAGAAGAGGATAGGGAGGTTTGTGGGGTGGATAAATAGGACGGCGGATGAAAGGGAATAGCGGTCCAGCTGGTAAAAGGTAGGAGGTGAAGTAGCATAGTCAGCGTATGTCGATTAAGACAAACTAGAAGGGTTTCTTTTTTTTTTTTCTCCCCCTTTTTCTAGAAGAAGAAAATAGAAAATCGGCTTTTCCATGTTCTCATCTGAGAGTTGAAGGTTCTGGGTTTTTTTTTTTTTGTTACTTGTGCCAAACTTATGCATGAAATTTTTGATGAGCTACTAGAAAGCGCAAGTTGGAGTTCTCCCTTTTGAATCATATACGTATAATCTACTAATATTTCCACACTTACCTTTAGGCAGGACCTGATGAATTAGTTGTGGTCTTAATCTTATAAATGGTTGGTTAGGTGTAGGACACAGGGCGCCAGGCACCATCTTTGCAAGAGCTATGAATAAGAGGCTTCGGCGTCCCCTCCTAGGCAAGGTTACAGATTATCGTTTTTTCACATTTTTAATATGAAAATATGTTTATTAATCATATTTATTTAAATTTATATTTATTTTTCATGAAAAGTTTCATGTTCCTGAAAAATTGAGTATGTTTTTATATCAATACAAATAAATTTATCTATTAAGTGAAAAAAATTTATTTATAAATTTAAAATTCATCTCATTCTTTAATGATGTAAAATTTTTAATAATTACACATAAAACTTAATTAAACTTACAGTTTAACCTTTATTATTCTATTTATTGAGTTTTTGCCCTTTAAAATAATCATGTAAACTAGTTAAGAAATAAATATTTTTCAAATATAGGGGTATGTTACTCTTCTAAGTAAAACTTTTGAGATCTAGAATTTGAGCTGGGCAGTATAAAATCATAATGTAAATCAACCATTGGATTGAATTGTTATACCCTTTCAATGAAAAATCAATGTCCAAAATGAGGGATGTTTAAAAAATCTTGATTCAATATGTATTTTTTAATATTTTTGAAATAAATAAAATAGTTTATTCACAATAATTGTTAAAATTAATCAAAAGAATTGAAAAATTAAAAAAAAAATATTGTCATTGAGATATATTTTAGGTATTTTTTCATTGTAAGATATTTTAATTTGAAAATTGTTTGGTCAAATCTTTATAGACCTATATAGCTCAATCTATTACTATGCCATATCTAATACACCAGCAGGTAGGGGGACAGGTTTTTGAAGCTCTATTAGGCGCCGTTTCACAAGTATGAAAATATTTTATGATAAAGTTTTTCAAATATTTTTTCATGTTTAAAATGAGTAAAATATGATTGTTTTTTAATAAATGGGTTTAAATATTTCAAAAATAAAATAGAGACTCTATGCTTTGTACTCTTTTTCTCTCATTTGTCAAATTAACTCATCCCCCGTGTGTCTTCACAAACATCGACGGTATATTATCTCCGTCAACAACCGCCGGTGAAACCCAATTTCGTCTATGCCCTTTCGACCTCCTTCTCCTTGTCCGAATTTTATTGTATCTGTTTCTCCGTCTTACCTATATATGGCTATATAACTCGGCCTATAAATGCCCCATTTTTATATAGCTATTGGGTCAACCTATGTCCCTTCGGGAACATTTAATAAAAGTATAGCTCAACCTGCTGCTATTCCCTATCACATACCAGCAAGTAGGGAAAAGGGTTATGCACTCTGCATTTACTTAGCTCAACATAAGATTTCCATTTTGGGAAGCATGAAAATATTTTTTTGAAAAAAAAAAATCGAACTTTTTTTCTGGTGTAAAAGGAAAAAAATAATAAGCAAATCTAGTTGCCCTTGTCCTTTCTCTGTTTCTCCATCAACTGGTTAGATGAATTCCCCAACAGGAGCAGATTAGAGGGCTATGGAAATGGAAAACAATGAGGAAGTGCACAGGGAAGCAGGTGAAAGTAACGAAAATGAAATTCAATGGTAGACCTAAGCAGCTGAGCATAAAAAAGGGGCCACGTGATTTTAATGAAGTAAATTAAACCGTATCCTGGAAGCAACTCTACTGATGCCCACTAAAGAATGGGTACGAGACGACTTGGTGAGTCCATGAAACAATGCAGATTCAAACTGTAAACTGCTAAAAAAGCAATATTTATCTACAAATGGTTTTTAGTATTAATCAATTGCTTTGAAACAAGCATCGGATGACCCATACAGAACTAACAACTGACACTGTTTGCATTTGCTGTATTTCAATTTGAAAAGAGTTTATCTGAAACAGTTCAAGGGACACAAAGGGATACAGGTAGGAAAACCGCACAAAAGTCTCTATGATGAGCCAATAAGGCTTTGCAAAAATTAATATGAAGCTTACCAATACGACCAATTTTCATCCCAGAACGAGCAAGTGCCAAAAGAGCAGACTGGGCACCTGGACCAGGTGTTTTAGTCTTGTTACAACCAGTAGCTCGGAGCTTAATATAAAGAGCAGTAATGCCTAGTTCCTGGTTCGAAACAACAAAATTAATAGTGTATTTTGCAACAACAAAAAAAAAAAAAGGGAAATAATGAACAACTTGAACAACAGTATGCTAAGCTAAGGTGATTTAAGCCAGAATTAAAACAAAAGAAGCTAAAATGAAAATAGTTTTGACACCCATGGTTTTTCACATCATTACATAAAAAATATATATATGAAAGAAGCAATAGTAAACTAGGAGCAACATACCCATATTGAGTTGCAGATCAACGTCAGAAAAAGATAATAACCTTGTATCTTTGAGAAACATCCTGTGCAGCAAGCATGGCAGCATATGGTGAAGACACATCTCTATCAGCTTTCACTTTCATTCCACCTGTTTTAACAAAGTGTAAACGATGTGGATACCTTATACTACATTCCCATAGTAGATTTAATGAGAATACATTAATTAAACCTCAAAAAGGGAGGGAATTCTTACCAGTTATAGGAACCATAGTTTCTCTTCCAGACAGATCAGTCACATGCTGCATTTCAAACAAAACGACAATTCGATTAAGACATGGATTCAGAAACTACTAAAAGAACCCAAATTGCTATTTGGTATACTTACAATGAAAGTGTCATTAAATGATGCAAAAATGTGGGCGACACCGAAAACATGTTCTCCCTCTCTTACAGCAGGTCCAAGTGTCAACTTTTCTTCCTTTGGTTCACTAGTTTTTCACCAAGACTGTAAAAACCCAACTCACAAATCAACCAACTTTAGATTCAATACATTTTTCCCACACATTACCAGAATTAAACCAATCAACTACAACACATAATTAACAATTAAAGGCTAGCTTTTGAAGCATTGACGCAAAATTACATATAAGTAGAAATAAGCATGATTATTTAAGCTCCGGAAAAATAAGACGTTGCAGAAAGAAGTGAAATTTGGGATGGATTAGGAAGGATCGCTCACCATGGCAGATAGACGAAGACAATGAGAGAGCTAGTGTTTCGGAAGGCTCTTTCCCTACTTTCTATTTGCAGTAAAAATCCGCGGTAAACCCTAAGGAAAGGGGAGCTCAAAATTAGCTTAATTACCTATTACACAAGAAGTGGGTTAGTGTTTTAAAATGAAGGTGGAACAATGGTCCCTTTGATTTATGTTAAACAGTTGAAGCTGCCTCGGAATAGCTCTTCACAAATTACCTTCAGTATAACAATTTATTGATGGGTCTCATTTCTTTATTCTTTTCCTTTTGTCTATAGGAAAATTCTCAAAAGGTTTTTTCGTCTGGGCAAAAAAAATTATTTCAAGGCCAATAATCCACATTTACATGGATAATAATCTAGACTATATGCATATAAAGATCAATTATGTTTAGTGCTTCAAAGAATTAGTATCTCATATGATATAATTGACATCATATACAAATTTACCTAAAAGGACATACTAAAAAAACTACATTCAATATCTAATTCAAGCATGATAGGAGTTGTCATGATGTAGATGGTTGTATTCAGGATTCTCCTGGCCAATAAGTAGGCACATTAACATTTCTCTGTAATGAACTTGAGTGATGTTATACAATCTACAAAAGGAAATATAACAAAACCTTCCCATGAGTAGTGCTGATCCAAGCAAAGTTTTGAGTATGATAAAGAAAAATGCAAAGGCATCTATACCATATCATATCTTGCATTTAATTAGAGGATGACCTCAAGTACAACCAAAGAACTTCTGAAAGTATAACTCTCATTCATCCAAGGTAAATAAACTGCTGTGTTTTGTCTTATAGGCTCATGTTACAATCAGTTCTACCAGTCAAAAAACGCATACAAAAGTTGTATGTGGGTACATTTACTCTTCCAATTTTGTAAAGGATAAATGTGTGAAGGGTGAAAAAAATTGAATAAAAGATTCAGAAAGAAAAGGAAATGAATATTTTATGACTTTAACTAAGGAAACAAACTGGGGCTTGAGTAAAAATGATTGCAGATGTTATGCCGATATAAGTCCTATATAGCCAGCTAATAAGGCCAACACACAGGATACAATGTATGCAACGGCAACAATCATTGGTTCTTTGAGCCCCAATAATTCCAGATGATGATGGAAAGGTGCCATTCTAAACAGACGGCGCCCACTTCCTCGCAAGTGCTTTGTTGTTTTGAAGTATAACACCTAACAGATATACAGTGTCAGTTATAATGCCAGAGAAAGTGGCATGCAGTCTAAAGAACACTTTTATCATATGCAAACTTGGAAAGATGAACAGATAAACCCAAACTACTTTAAGTAAATATCTTATTTATGACTCAGAATCAAAGGAAAACAAAAGCATGGGCAACCATTAGGCAAAATGTTAAGAGGGTAACTGAGGCCACCTTAATAAAATGTAGATGGAAGAAATACTCATCATTGATTGATTATTACAAGAAGTGACTGAACGTAACATATCATGATGAAAACTTTGATGCATTTGCATTAGCTAGTTTTCCACCAAAATTGCAGAAGAATAAGACATGTAACTGACATAGCACACCTGCATAATAACCGATGATGCCTCCAAAACAAAGAAACCCGATGAAATGAATAAGGGAAAGAACATTCCGGTACAAGCAGCCATTGCAGCTAATGCACCACCAAGGGCCAAGGATCCAGTATCACCCATAAATACAGATGCCTTATACCGGTTGTGCAAAAGAAAACCAACACAGGCCCCCGCCATTGATGCTCCAAATATAGCAAGTTCTAATTAGGATAGAAAATTTACATTAACTCATTTAGTGTTGAAAAAGAATGCAGTAAAGGACAGTATGGTCATACTTAAAATAGCATAAAAGAAGATTCACAATTACAGCTTTCAACATTATAATCATATTTTAGTGTTTCACCAAGATGGATGAACTGGCCACTGCAACAATAACATTTTAATCTTATGATAAGAAGGAAAAACAATTGAAGAGGTGAAAAAACTGCAAAAAATTTCCAACGGTAAGCTTTAAAATACTGTCTTCCACATGTCATCCAGATGATGTAACTGGAAAGTGCCATCATATAAATTGCCTTCTCATTTAAGGGGATTAAATCTGAAGTTTTGAGGAAATATGCTTCAATATTGGTCTTCAAACACAAATGAGTTAGAGAGTTAATGCATTTATGCAGATAAAAAACTTAAGTAAGAATACAAGGAGTGACAACAAATAGTTTCCCCAAATAACAGCATCTTCCTGTCAACGATAAAGAACTCAAAATCTGACCAATGTTTCACTGTCCCACATATTTTTGGCACTTTCAACAAATCAAACAACTACTTTCCCAAATCAAATAGAAAGGTAAACACACAACAAAAATGTATGTGGGATCTACAAAGCTATGTGACATTCCAGAGAATAGAAAAAACTTCCCACCTTTCCTCCAACTATATTGCTTGTTCAAAAGAAATATATACTAACCAGGGCATATTGGAAGCACTGCAATTGACATTCCAATGAAAGCTAATGCAGCAGTTCCTCCAGCCAGACCATCAAGACCATCTGTTAAGTTAACCCCATTTCCCATGGAAACAAAACAAAATGAAGTCAACAATAGGTAAAATTTTCCCAAGTAAATGATGCCCATTGGTGCAGGTAGAGGAACCAACATTTTCCTGCATGAAAATGTTATAAAATGATCTGAGTGAAAACCAAAATCATAATTTGGGCAAGAAGGATAATAACAACCAGTATAATCTTTAAACAATAGACATAAGTGGGAATTGAAGCAATGGGAGAAGAAATGTGAAAGACCAAGTGGCAGTTTTATTAATCAGGCAAGCATTCATTAAAGACCAAGGGGTTGATTGACAAGAAAGAAGGTGTCTATATATTTTAAAACTGTGTTCCAGTGTCCAATAGGAAGACAATAAGGGACAAGTGAGCTGATGTTGCCAATTTATTCTATTTAAGTAGCTGGTATTTCCTCTTTTCATTAAGTTCCAGCTTCCCTCACTAACATACTCACATCGATATTCATTAACCCAAGTGCTACAATTCTCCCAAATAGTTCTTATAATGATATTCTTCTTCAAAGGGTTATCTGCGTTTTCAAAATTGTCTGGAGTACAATAAGAAAGAAAAAAGCTTATTATCTAAGATATAAAAAAGAATGGATTCTATAACATGCTTTTCCATCAAAGAACTTCAATAATATTGATAAAATCTAAATTTTTCAAATGGAAAGTTAAGGAAAGTTGGTATTTTGTCATGATTTTTACGCCATAAGAATAGATATGTGAGTTACCATCACATAAATGTTGATCAGATTAGTTACAAGAAGATATACATGCCATAGGGTGAGGATAAACTTGCAGCGTCCAACCAAAATGAAAACCAAATCCCTACAGTTGCCTGTAATGACAAATAGTTCAAATTAGTCCAATAACTGGGGTAACAGTGAGCTCCTAAAATGACAAGGACAAAGCATATACAATTAAAGAAAGAGCTACCTCCAAAAATAGTCTTAACCACGGAGATAAGCCACTGTTGTGTTGCTTGATGAAACTTAAGACGTCATCAAGTAGCCCAATTGCAGCAAATGCTAAGGTTGCTGCTGCAGCGGCAGAAACTTCAATAGAAGAAAAACCAGTTACGAATTTTGCAACAGATAGACCAGCTGGAATAAAAAACAGTCCACCCATCGTTGGGGTTCTCTTCTTTCTGGAATGTCTAGCAGGTCCTTCTTTCCTAATTATTTGGAGGAACTTAAGACCTTTAAGCAACGGGACACAAACATAACCTGCACATGCCGCTAAAATCAAAGATATGAAAAATGGGGAGGTCAAATAGAATGGCGCCAAGGGTAGCCTGACAATTTTCCATCCGCACCAATCCACAAGTAAAAGAACCATTGTCAGGAAGATTACAAGAGCCAAGTTGATTAACAGCCCAAGATATATCCTGCGATTGTTTTGAGCAATATATCAACAAAAGCCTTGAAAAGAAGATGAATTCATAAAGACTGCCAATAATTAATTAGTTTTCATTCAGCCAAATACAAATATTGGAAGCCCCGTGAGTCGGCAAATTACTAATAGAGCAGCAAACTTGCCTGTGTCTTCGTTGGCCTCTTCCAATCAAAGCAAGCCGATGGGTAGTCATGGTTATGGCATCATCAGTCGAGACTTTGACAGAAGGCAAATCCACCTCACTCAAAGGGCTTAATACAATTTCCCCATCGCTGTCTTCCCCATCACTTGATGAAGAAAACATATACGCTGCCACGGAATCGTCAACCACCCAGTCATCGAACGAAGAAATTCCCACCGAGTCCTTCAAAAAAACAACAAAATGCATTTCAGAAACCATATTGGAAATTATTAAATTTAGACAAAGAACAACAATGATGTTACTTACATCATCGGTGGCATTAATTTGAAGGACGTCGCGTCGAGATCGTTTCCATCGCTTCCGTACAATTTCTGATCGTTTTAAGTGTAACTTGAGAGGCGAGTAGAAGCTGGAAGCAGCAGCACCGCGAAGCCGAGAAGAGGACAGGAACCGGGGGCGAGATAAAACGGGGACAGAGCTGTGTCGTTTTGGGGATGGAGAGAGTCCCGAAGAAAAGAAATACTGTAGATTCAAAGAAAAGGAATGGGATAGCATGACTGTTTAGAACAAAAGCAAAAAATAAGATCAAAAATTCATTTGATGGAGATATCAGAGGCCATTCGACAACGATAATTTCGAGATTTCGAGTGAAAAACTGAAAATGGTGGCGGCAAGGAAAGCCAGGAGCTGTTTTTGTTCCAAAACAAAACCAAACAATAAAATAAAAGGAAACTTTGAAAATACCGGAAGAAACGTTGAGATTCGGCGGCTGTCTGGGTTTCGGAAGGGACGCGCCCACTGAGAGCGTGAAGCGGTCATTAAAAATCTGTGGATTTCAAGTGGGCTGGATTAAGATTGGATATCGTTTGATAAGCTATGATAGATTTGACCGAAGAAGAACACAACCAAGCCCAATCTTTGTAATTAGAAACATTTTAAAATATTTAAAAGACAAACAGTTTTGGTAATTGATGAATATTTAAAAGAAAATTTTGAATTTGAAATAATCAAAAAAATAGTGCATAGTTTAATAAATAAAATAAAATTGTCCTTTGGGACCAGAAAAAAAAAGAAGATAATTTATTAAATATAAAAAAATTAGGCATAAGATTTGCACTCAGTTTCCTCGTAGAGGAAAGAAGCAACAAAAAGATGTATAAATAATGTTCAATTGGGTTCCCTGTCCTAGTCTTTTTGTTGAATGATTTTTTGTTTATGTCCGTACGTATATATGGGGAATCATTGAATTTTAAATTACACAGCAAAAAGTAAAGCTTTTGTTCTCATTCTATGAAATGAATTTTAAATTACACAGCAAAAAGTGAAGCTTTTGTTCTCATTCCATAGAATGAAACAGTCATCCCCTTCCCAAAATTCAAAGTTAAAGAGGTTTCAAATTTTGCCACTAGAATTCCACGGCATATTGAGAACCAAAAGGCTTTCAGGAGAAGAAAGGCAAGAATTAACGTGTGAGACAAAGTAAAAAAATTGTCAGAAGCAAACATTTCAACTACCAAATAGAATTTGTATAAGCATAATACATCGTTGTAATGCCAGTTTCAAAAGATAAAACTAACACCATATCCACCGGATTTTACACTTCTCCCTTCAAACTTAAAAAGCAAGTTGGAAAACCCGCTTCCAACTCCCACATCTGTACAATGCACAATAAACAGCACAAAATGCAAAGATTACACCAAACGCAGACATAAATTAACTTAGCTCTGCTTAGAATCAAGAGGTCGTCCACGTCCCATTGTGAATCCCCTGGTTCCATCAGGCATTCTTGGGCCAGGGGGTGGCTTTGATGGTTCAATGGCATGAGCAGATGTAGATCCATGGCCTACGATACATAATGAATTCTGGTCAAATAGGGAAAAAAGCAACATATTGCAAAAGCATGAGCTGTGATCATTTCAATACCTAGTCCATTGGTACCACGATGTTTCTGTTTCCTTGCACGTCCTCTATTTCTATATCGATGTCCATTCTTATCCTTGGACAAATGCTCCCCATCCTCAAATGTAGCAGCAAAGAAACAATTTAAAAGATAAACAACCTCTTCCCTCTTATCTAATATTTGTTGCTCTTGTTATCATTACTCTTTTCTTTCTTTAAGTTCCATGAATGTGTCTATGATCAATAATCTATTTAACAAAAACAGTTGACCAATTTGATACGCTTACACTTTACCATAAAAGAACGTAGAGCCTACCTCCTCATCAGGTATATCTTCATGATGCTCGTTTGATGTATTATTCTCCTCATCTCCTGTTTGATCAGATGCTCGACCAGTGCTGTTCTTTTCAGGATCAGATCCCCTCCAAGCTTGCCTTCGCTGTCCATACTTGCTCTGTAATAGGGGAACTAACATTATACCAGTTTATTCCTAAGTTAGATAAGTTAAGCAAACAAGAAGAAATACCACTCGCTTAACAAGCTTAACCCGCATGCCATTTCTCCAGTCCTGTTCATCATTCAAAGTAGTCACCTATCCAATAACCAGAGAAGTGCTCATAATCAATTAATTGATTAATTATGATATCAGTTACAGTAGATTGAAGACTTCCTTGACACTTACAGCTTTTTCAGCAGCCTCGACAGTCTCATACTCTACCAGAGCATGTAACTAGATCCCAAAACCAGGAAATTAAGCAGATCATAAACCAGGTTACAAACATGTAAAGACAGTAATTTTACAACCAATGAACAAAGCAAGATAACTATTCTACATCAAAACAAACTTCAAAAATCACATAAACCCAAATATACTCAACAGGGTTTTATACTTGTAGTTTGCACATCGTTTACCAAGTGTCGTTCAGGGGCAGCTTAACCTAAACCTAAAAGTCTAAGAGTGCACACCAGAAAAATAATCATTAAGCTAACAGTTTGCTCAGTCAACCAGTTATAGCCCACCTAAACTCCTATAAATTTGATTTTGACCATAAACCATATATATTCTCATAATTCCCTCCTGTCTAAACTTTTAACTAGAATTAAGAACCTTTTTGTCTAATCCATTTCAGAAAGGCTCCTTAAAAGCATTAACAACACTTATGTTACAAACTCAAGGGGTTTTCAAACAGAGGGAATATAGGTAGAAATTTTCCGTACATAGCTATTGTAAAGAAAGTCATGTCCTGCTCACAATCTACATGAAACTCAAAGAAACAGAAGTTAAATAACATAAATTCTACCAATAAAACTTGATCAAGTTCCATAATAACAATGCAAACTAATATGCCACTGATTTTACAACAAACGAACCACAAATAACACAAAATGTTGTTCATTAGTTATTTACTTCAATGCTTTATTCAATATCCAAGAAAGAATGTCATGTCCATACTACCACTGATGAGGTTATTATAACAAAGAATTGAGCAGATAAAAAGAAGGGGAAAGGGCTGCAAAATGAATTCACAACATAGTATCTGCAAAGTTAAAACCAGTTTTCTTACCTTACTACTGATCAAAATATCTGCCCTACCCTTTTTCTTTGATTCTTCCACAGCATGAGGATCATAAATGGATATGTTCTTTATGCTGAAATTTCAGAAAGAAATCTACAGTCATCTAAATGAAAGAACTATAAACCTCATAGGCCACAGCCAGAAGAAAGAATGACCATTATTTAAAAAAAAAAAAAAAACTTACTGTCCAACATCACCAAATATCCTCCTAATGTTTTCCACTGAATGATCCTCTGGAAGATTTTCTACCAAAACAGTAAGTAACTAGGATCCACAAATTAGATGCCACAAAATTAAACAAATGAAAATAAGAGTGAAGCCACTGAGTTCCATAAAATAAATACCTTTGGATCCCTGACCTCAATGACTGGAAGAGGAGTTTTGCGCTTAACCTTCTTCTCATCAGAACTCACAACCTGAGAGGTTTTGATAAAACTAGAAATTACATGCCAGAGAGAAACAGAACTTTCTAAGTTTCTTTGAATTGAAATTTTAGCATTATATCCATAAGAAAAATAGCAATCTGTATAAGGGGTGAGAGTCTAGAAACATACAAGTAGGGAAGACTCTTTGAGTGCAGTAATTATTGATGGATAATTTCTGGTGAGTTTTTTCATTTTCCTAAAAGAAGCAATAACCGAAATAGGAACTGCAAGAAAAAATAAAAACCTTATATATGTTAATAACAAGATATCAAAGTAATAAAAATAGATATTCTATTTGAAAAATGAAGGCAATTAACCCTCTAATAATAATCAAGTGGACAAGGCCTAAATAATAACAGTAGTCATACAATAATGCTAGAAAATGAAGGTTGTTAACCTATTCTCGAACTTAACATAATTTTCAACTGATCACTGGAATTATCCATAAAACAAACATTCATAAACAGAGTAAATATGCACAGACAGGAAAATGCTGAAAGCAGACACAATCACTTCCTAGTAGATACAACTATCATTGAAAAATTTACGTATTAACTTACAACAAAAAGGGATCTTCATTAAAAACAAATAAAATATTTCACTTCACTTTCCAAGTAAAGTAGCAAGGCGGAATGAGAAAATGAGACACACATTAATGAAGTGAATACAGTGTATATCCATTTTGCAACACTAACAAGGGATTGACAAATAAATCTCATTTTTAAAACTTATTACCAGAATCAAATACAAAAGAAGAACAGAAAACAGTGGTTTAAGCTCAAAATAGTTGGTCTATTGAAAATTTTGGTAACTATCACTTATTGAGAGATGTCAAATTGGAGATAGAAGAATAGAGAATGAATCAGAAAGCAGTAAGTTGTCTATTCATTTGGTCAAACCAACCTCAGAAGTTCGGCACAGCACAAATTGGCCACACCAGGAAAACATTGAGGCTGAGACCTGTCATAAGTACCTGCTGTACTTCATCACCTTCATCATCTCTATTCAAGAGAATCTCTCTAGATTTATTGCTTATTAAATTAAAAAAAAAGTTCCAGATGGGATCTTTTCTGTTTAAAGAAAGTATAAAGATATTTTCTGTACTGGTTAGATATATTTTCAGATTAATTAATCAATTTATAAGGTTTAGGTTCTTCCTAGACAAGCATAACAAAAGAGCACACATTGAAAGCTTAGAAATCTATAGCTTTTGAAGAAAAGGACAGCAAGGATATCAACGATCTCTTCTTCATACATCACATAACAAGGAAGATGGTTTTATAGGTGCATGCTTGTGATAGGTTCCAGCCTAATATAATTTACTGGTTGGTGCAATACTGTGCTCATCAGTTTAGCTTCCTTCTACAAAAATTTCAAAAGTGCGATATATTATATACTGAATTCCTCACAAAAAAAAATGAAAGAGAAAACAAGAGAGAAAAGTATAAGGCAAAGACAAGACACTGCAGTTTTCTTCCAATTGAATAAACAAAATTACTGTCAACATAAGTAAAAGCGAGAAATTTGGACATAGTAATTAAGCCCTTCCCATGTCACTTGTACAGGAAATATATGATCAACTAGCCCTTCTCATCGCTTGAGGAAAACTGAGGTTTCAGTTTTTTACTCAAAACCACAACCATAATTATTAATTACTCTTAAATAATTTGTGAATTTGACAAAACAATGAATAGTTGTTATTTCTCCAACTCATCCATCCAAACTAATTCTTATACATCATACGTTCATCCCATAAATTACATAACAAACTGAATCCCAGTTCACATTCTGAAATACTATATACAGTGAGGCTACAAATCAAAACATTTTAGTTCAACTAAAATGTTAAAATACAGGTTTTATTATATTCTCAGAGCGAAATCAGTCTCCAACACATAGTGCAGATGGTATAAGCATGTTAAATTCTCAGTGCTAAAACTTAAAAGAAATGAAAAAAAAAATCAAACCAAGCGAGAAGTTTTATGTACTTACCAAAACCTTCTTTGTTTTTCTTGATCAAACTCATCATATACTTATCCGTCGGCAAATTGACATCGCTAAAATAATATTCCACCTACAAAGTACAAATCGAAAACATAAGAAATGAGATGGAAGCCAACGTAGTAGCAAAGTTCATCTAAATGAAAATAAAAACGAGAAAAGGGAAAAGATAAAAATAAAAGAGGCAGGACATATTCTAGGGTTTTAATTCCAACAACGCGAGAGAGAAAGTTTTTGTGCCACTTGCCTGCTTAATGATCTTGTTTTTAAGATCATCAGTAAGGACACCAGTCGCCGACGAGTTGTCGTGACTCTGATTCTGATCCTGATCTTGACCGTGCTCGTGGTCGTGGTCGTGGTCATGGTCGTGATCGTGATCGTGGTCGTGATCCTCTTCGGACGGCGGCGATGTAATCTCCTCCTCTGGGGATCCGACGGGAATGAAATCAAGAAGATCACGCGGCGGAGAGTTCGGGGCGGGGCCAGCGGTGGCGGTGGTGAGCCCCACGTGGCTGTCCATCTTGGGGAGAGAGAGGAGAGGGCAAGGGAAAAAGTTCTGATTAAACGGGTTAAAAATCAAAACCCTCCCGCCCTTTCCTTTTCTCTTTTTCTCCTGCCCTCTCTGGTTTTCCCTGCCCAGGACCCTTTATACCGAACCGGGAAATTTCCATTTTTGTTAAGTCAAGGGTTTTTTGGTCAAATCCTTCCATGTTGGAAACACTACACACAATAATACAAATTTTTTCCAGATTTTCGTCTTTTAAGTTTTTTTTTTTCCATTTATATTATCTAAGATTTTCATTACAGTAAAAATAAGTTTCTTTGGACGTGGTATGACCCTGTCTTCCCAATAATAATTTTTCTGATAAGCTCAATCCTTTTGCAACTTAATATAGAATTAGGAATGTCAATGAATAAAGTATTTGAGTAATTTAATTTAAATCTTATTATTTAAAAGGGTAATTGAACTTTACAGGTATTTAATTAAATTTTTTAATTCTTGTACGAATTAATATTTGAATATTATATACATTTCTCATTAAATATCCTACTTATCAAATGCTAGATTAAATTAAATTTAAAATTAATTTTTTGTATATTATTAATAAAAAATAGATTAATTATTAAGGTTAGTTCATAAAAAATAAATTAAAGCTTAAAATCATATTTATAACAATTAATTAGTTTTAATAAGTATTACATTAATTATAATAAATTAATAAATAAAAAATAATATATATAAAATTAAAATTAAAAATTATTAGTTATAATGATATTCGAGTACCACTCAAACTTTACCTAACTCTGTGACTAATAGTAATTTTACTATCTGAGTTTGTTGATAAAATAATCTAATCTTATTTAATTAGAGTGAGTAGAATAATAAATTTTATTATAAAATACCCGTTGATGTACCTACATAAAATGATAATATTTTCCGAAGCAAATAATACTAGAAAATACAAAAGGATTTAAACCATGAACATATAAGAACTTCCAGATCTCACAAGTAAAGACTTACCCAACCAACAAAAGATGACAACATTAATTGCACGGTCATCACTGATTTAATTAATCAATCCTCTTGTTCGATAAATTATCCTCAACAACCCGACAAGAATACGAAAGCTCCTCATTAAGAAAGGAAGGAAAAAATATATATGTAAAAAAGTGTGCTAATTAACCTACAATTTATTAATCCTTAAATTAATCTTTAAATAGTGATTGGACATTGGAATCGAGCCTCACCATGCTCTCCAATACCGAATCAAAATGGCTTGCACCTGGTCGTGGAATCAGATTCATCACGATTATTGGCATGTGAAAAATCCCCACGAGCTTTGATGTTCAAAGAACATCGATCCTCTACCAAATGATCATGATCATCATAGAAAAAAGGTAAATCTCGAGATTTTGCTTCTAATGAATCAAATGATCCCTCGCGTTCGAAGCTACAACAAAAAAAAATAGATAAGTTTCAGCTTGGAGTAGAATCATGAAAGTGTGAAACAAATCTTTTTATCGGGGTGGATGACAATCTGCTAGTTTAATTAAGCTTTTAAAGCACTAGATTCTAAGAAATCTTTGGGTTAACTTTACTTTGATACAAAGAAAATCTGAAAATGCAACTTAAGCCATTCTCATTTCTCAAAGCAAAACTCGGAAGGAAGATCACATACAAAACTACAATACAAACGAGGGATATTTTGCTTTTGCTAGCAATTACCATGCCAGAAAACCTTACACATAGGACGCATAACTTTTAACCCTTTACCTACGTAACCCAACCCTAAACCAAAAGCAGAATGTAAGCCCAAAAAGCAAGTCCCAGCCCTAACAATACTCGGACCTCGATTCTTCTGGACCCTGAGAACCACACCCGAACATCGTCCACCACAGGACCACAAAGTGAACTCATGTCATCGGTTCTTGTATTGTAATACACACTGTAGAACGCGATACGTGTCCTTTCTGCCTTGGCTGTGAAGTTGACACTAGCAACTTGAAAGGTGGAGTTGGAGTCAGGCGTGTAGTGAAAATTTTGCGCCTGATCTCCGGCGAAGGCCATGACTGCAAGTGGTTCCTTGCATTTGTCCCTAGCATGGCCCAAAGAAAAGGTCAAGCTATATAGCTTGTCTGGTGTGGTTTCGACCATCTGAGAAATGATGCCTTCCTTGCCTGAGACCAACTCAACGGCACGTTTGCCTTCTGGGACTGCATAATGGTAGGAGTCAATGTATCGAACCGCCCTGTTTGATTCGACCATCCATCCTGGTAATGGGGATGTCTCCTCGTCAAGGTTGGTTGGGAGCAGGACACCAAGAGATACATTTGGGAACATCCAGGGGCCAAATTCAAAGCCACTATTAACGACTGCGTTGTCTGAAGAAAACATAGCAGCAAAGAGAACACAATCAACACAACAACGTGGAAAAAATAAAGTAAAACAAGCATCCCGTGACAGGTCCCTATGCCACAGTCCACAGAGCATTCATTAAGGTTCTTCAAGATGTAAAAAATACATAGCGAATACTGTTTTTTCGCTGGACATTTTTCAGGGTTATTAATTTAGCATCTGATGTTGAGCTTGGATGTCCAGCAGCAGTTAAACAGTTTACTGTCCAAAATTCTGTCATAACAACATATTAATTAGTACTTTATAACAACCACATTACATGACATAGACCAACTAGTTAATACTGTATTTCTGCAGATGGTAGGTTGACTGAGATTTTCGTAATAATGATCCCTACTTGAACAGAATGGCCGCGTTGACAGTCTTATTATTTCAATCCAGGTTTCTGGTAGAGCAAAGTTCCTAAGGAATACACACGCTCTGTAGCTGACGATATTAAGGCCTCACCTAACCTTCTGTATTTCTTGCTCCTTTGGCAAACACTAGAGCTGTACCTTAGCTCATTATCAAGCTAAGAAAACCAGGACATTTTTCAAGCTGATAGTATTCGTTTAATTAACTAGAGACTCCAATAAAGTCCACATTCACAAACAAAAAGAAAATTTCATTTCCAGGGTAGGATCCCAACATTATGGGGTCCAGGAATGGAATCCAGATTATCTCCCTTCTAGGCCATAACAAAGCTACTAGGCTGATAGCCCTCTTTTATTTAATACTGCCATTTTCATAGGGGCAAGGAGCTTTGAATTTCTGTTGCCCTACTTAGACAAACAATGGACCCAAACCCAAGACAACAATTTTGAGACTAATCCTTTGGGTTTCAAACAAAGAAATCACGCATAAGCTTCACACGTTTTGATGTGACCCACACAAATCACGCATCGCAAAACGATAAAAGTGAATGAAGCAGAAAAAGAAAAAAAGAGAGAATTTTTAGTTTTACCTTTGGACTTATCAGGTGCAACAAGTTTCTTGATGGCAATATCGTCAATGATGGGCCCACATTCCGGATCATCTTCCATTCCCGGGTTCCTAAAAATCAACCGCGCCCTATCGTCCTCCGCCTCAAAAGAAATCGAGTATGGGTCCCATCCTTGCACGTTGTACAATGTTTGGAGGTCGACCGTCTGCGATGCAGGTGGCACGGACACGTTCAATGACTCCAGCTGCGCACACGTGCGGGCCGCACTGAAAGTAACTGCGTACGTGGATCCTTTCTCTACCGACAGCTCCTGGCTGATCTCCGCGTCGTTGCCCAATCTAACGGCATGCCTGCCTCGGGGCACGATGAGGAGCATCCCACCGCCCACTTTTTCCCCAGATGACACCAGCTCAACTGTGCCGTAGGCTTTCCAGCTGGGGATCTCCGTGGGCCCATCCGATATCGCCTCCCTTGGGAAGCCGTTCGATGGTGGTGTCTCGAAATCACCATTCGCCACTAGCCCTACAAAATAATTGTTCACATTACTTTAACCATGACAGCAGTGGGTATATCAAATACAATGTACATTTTCCTTAAAATTTGGTAATTTCTTTCCCAAAGTATAGTATTGATAGCACGAACATGATGATCTATTTTTGCTCCCATGAACTATTTACCAACACAAGCGTGCCTATCCGTAGACGTGCCCATACAGTTTACGACAAAAAAATTAGAGAAAATAAGTACTACAGTAACGCATGAGCAGATATATTTCATTGTCAAGGAAATTTTGTTTGATGGTCAGTAGACCCCGCTGGCCCATCTGTCTAGGAGACAAAATATTGCAACCTCTACTTCACTTGCCTACCAAACAGAAAATCTAAAAACAAAAGATGAGAGGTGGGGACAATTAATTTTGTGTATGCGATATTAATACTAAATAAATTTAAATCTCATTAATGTATGAGCAACCCATCTTTTCTGTATGGATACTAGATATATACCACTTCTAACTTCGTGTTCAAATATTGAAACTCGTGAGTTTCAATGGAGTTTGATAAATACGGTCCTTAAAATTCTAGGAATATGTTTGGCGCGATTAGAATGGAGTTTGATAGACAACATATCAAGGATGATAATACCAAACAAAACCTAGATTAAAACTCAATGAGAACCAAATCCTAGGCTTAGTTAACATGTGGTTGGATCTACATCTACATAATGTATGGCAACCATAAGCTAGTGGGAAGAAAACAAAGCCCATGGATAACCTTATCCAGTTACTAGCCTCGAATTGGAGGAGAGAGCTATGCCCTGATAAACAACGAAACTTCGTCTAAGAAAATGCATGAACAAGAATGATTTAATACCAACAGACTCGCAGGGTGTATGCCGCAGACCAAAAAGAAGAGATCATTTTCAAATAAGGACAAAAAATGAAGGATGTGATGTGAGCACATTAAGACTGTGATACTGGTCCCACCCAACTCGAAACGTGGGCCTAAAGTTTACCGCGTGGGCCCTACCCCACCGCTTCAGCCCATCATTTTCACTCTAGTCATCTCCGCTTGGACTCGACAAATGAAAGTTAAAATAAAAAAAATCATAAAATGGTAGAGATGTGCGCCTTCTCTTTTTTGTTTCTTTTGTTTTTTTATTGGGTAAGTAAGGAAGTGTGCGCGCATGACTGTGAAGGTGAATCCTTTATGGGACAGAACTGAGCTGGACAATTGGATGATCACTGAAAAAGAACAGGGATGAAATGATTCGATGCGATTGGTCATTTTGCGGAAG